TCGCTGTTTGATTTATTAGATACTAATAAATTGAACAATGTATTAAAGATTAGTGAGGAGTGAAACATCTTCATTCTCATTTATAGATTTCTAAAGGGATTAAGTTAAATTTTACTCTGTTTTTTGAGTGAGTTTTAGGATGGAATAGACGAGAGAACGGAGGTAACGGCTCACCGATCCTATAAAGCCTTAAGATTAGTTTGATAATAGAGTTTTATTTAGTTGCTTTCCCTATTATATATATACAAGAAAAATAACATATTATTTATTTAAATAATTTATATTAATGACATTCGTGTTAATTTGTTTTAAAATTTTTTTATATTCAGGTATTTGCATTAGTATTATCTTTTATGTGCGAAACCGAAAGTTGGCTAATCAGATTAAGAGGAAGATAATTATAACAAGGATGATAATGTATAAACCCTTAAAACTTTTATATTTCATTATTAAGGCAGTCGCAGTAGCATTTTTAATTAGAGTCTTGTCCAAATACTTTTTTGGCTTTACTCTAATAGAGAGTGATTTAATATTCGGTATAAATATAGCGGTAACATCTGGAATAATTTATTTTTTATCACCTTTTATCTATTCATTTTTAGGTAAAAATAAAATACGCACAATATTAGTCTTTATGTTATTATGTTTTTTAGTAAAATCTCTTTTTGTTATAATAGATGGTTCTTTATATAACATTGCAATTCTTAATATTGATTTGGCAGGGTCAATAGTAAATTATATAATAATATTTGTAGAATCTATACCTCTAATTGCTAATTGTGGTATTTTATATGATTTGGTTCATTCTATAATAGAATTTATAGAATGAAAACTGAATATATGTAAACTACCTATGTTAGGTAATTCAGAAAAAACTAGAGATATTCATATGTCTAGTTCTAGCTCAAATCCTTCAGCTAATATTGGTTCTAGTAGTTCAGGGCCTCAGATTAACTCTGAGGATCCTGAGATTAAAAGAGAGAGATCTCGTACTAGATCTGAGTCACCTGTTATTGTAGGTGAGAGAGGGGTTAACCCAAATATACCTGAAGTACAGGTTGATGATAATGGAGGTTTTTATCGTACTAATCAAATACCCTTAAAATATACTATAACTAAAGGAAGTGAGATTGTTACAGATTATAGACCTAATGGTAGAAATCAACCTTATGCATGTAGCATAGCTAATGCTATAGAGGATTTTCAAAAGAATAGAGGTGGTGGACGACAAGTACCTGAACTTGATAATAAAGCTCAAGCATTTTTTGATAATTTTCTTACTCATAACTTCCCTAATAAGAATTGAGATAGAGCCTACAAGGGGTCAAAGGAAGTACTAAAGGCTCTTAAAAGATGTGGTTA